ATCTCCTCAGTTTATGAATTTTCTACAGCACATATGACTTTACTATGTTTGGCAGAACGGCCATTAAAAAGTAGACTGACTGTGAGAAAGTATAGCCCAGAGTGCATTTCAGCGACAGCACAGAAGCTCCAAGGGGAAAACTGTCTCCTGTCGTTAATCCTGCCCTTGGCTTTCTCAGTTAGTTCAAAGACCCTGTGGGGTCTCCAGAGCTCATCATTTATTGATCTAATTCTTGTTAGATTCTATTTATAGGTAACCACATCCGTACTGTAACACTTCCTTCTTTCCACTTCTGTTTGCACAACACACAACACTTGTGATCAGGCACATTATTATCAGGTTGAACTGTGTCAATGTCACAGCAGGGTAACCGAGGGATGAATCTATGGTTTGTCATGTTTCATCTCGTCCCTTGTCGCTGTCGCATTCACAGAAAAACAGAGTGCACACAGTGGGAGCCTCACAACATGGGGCATGCATATTTCAAATGCTCAATCTGAGTAGATGGCATCGCTACATGTTCTCTAGGTTGCTAAGGTTCTGATGGAGGGAGGGAGGGCTTCCTCTCTGGCAGGGGTTGCTATTAATATTAATGAATGTCTTTGGGTGTGTTGCAGACACGCTGCCCGCCCAGTGTCAACACAAAGTCTTCATGAAGTGACAGTGAAATGACAATGAAATATTTGACCATGAGTAGGATATCTCTGTGGATGTAATCTGTCTCTACGGCACAATGATGATAGAGGTAAGATCTGAGAAAGTTTTATATTCACCGTCAACAGAACTAACAAGAGGAAGCAGCTGACTGACCAGCAATAGATGCGGTAATAAAAGTCACATTTCTATCAAGAAGAAAAAAAAAGCATGGCAAAGGCCAAAATGCCAAACTCAAGACGTCAAAACAGCAAACAAAGTGTTGGTGTCACATTGGCAAAATCAACCTCTTATATTTCATTTACGGTAATTTCCTTTCAAACCTGTAATTATCCTTGAAAAGACATTGAGGTTTCCTTTATTTCCAGGGCTGTCAAGATTACAAGCACATTAAAATAAGGAAAAAATAAAGGCCAATTCTTATAAATAAAAAGCCAGGGAAATCTGACTGCTCTATACATATTAAAAGGGTTGGGGGGAAAAGGTTGCTGAGAATATTTTTTTATTTTCTTATTCTGTTTTTTTCTCCTAACCCGGGAAAGCACAGGTTGTAAAAGGGTCATGGAATATAATTGGATTCATTCACATATAAGCCTCTTTAGGTACATGTAATCCCGATTAATGTCCTGAAACTACAGTACATGAGGAGTGTGGATCCAATACAATAAAACGAATAGTAAATAGAAATCCTGAATTACAAGGAAATAAGCAGCAAATACGTGCATCTTTTCAGCACATGTCCTACATATTGTTTTACATTCTGTAAACAGCACTATACAGTATGTGTCTGGGTATATACAGTATTGCTCAAATTGTCTTGGCAACATTTATTTTTTGATGTATGAGTGAACATGACGCTTTAACAAAAACACTTTCATTTTTACATCAGAGCTCATTTTTCACTATGAATCTTGGCTTGTATGGGTTGTGTGTTTACTGTCAGGAAAATTAGGACCATTACAGTGAAGTTTTTTTTTTAAAATACCTCAAAAGTAAAAATAAATGGATTTATTTCCCTGGGATTGTATATCCCAACAGTAAAAAAAAAAAGAGCAGAGTGAATGAGCAAACATGAGAAAACCGCTGGACACAAAGACAAGAGAAAAGACCAATAATCTCTGGCTTGAGGCATTCCTATTTATAGGAGTTGAATGTCACTCCAGATTAAGGTCAATGACGGCATTTTGCTGCCCTCTGGTGGAGAGACCAGTAGTCTCTGAACTGACATCATTCTATAAATCTACAACAGTGTGTGTGTGTGTGTGTGTGTGTGTGTGTGTGTGTGTGTGTGTGTGTGTGTGTGTGTGTGTGTGTGTGTGTGTGTGTGTGTGTGTGACCCACTCAGATTCCTTTATATTGAAATTTCATCATAAATCTAAGCTCTTAACACTTGAGAGTCACATTGTGTAGCTTACACATTAATATGCGCTCTATATTCTCCAAATTCTAACCGTACAGCATGGGATATAATTCAATTAATTGGACTGCAAATATACGACCACAAATCACGTCCCACGTTGGCCCCAGGCCCTGGTCTCTTAAAGCTCCGATGACATAGAAAGGATATGAAATTGCCTCCAAATAGAGCTTCAAAGATGGTTGGATGCTGTAGACTGTGAAGCCCCTTGAGGAAAACATTTTTTATTTGTAATATCCAATTAAAAATAAAAAATTGACTTGACTGGGGCTTCAGCCTCTTAGGGTTTATGGATTTAAATCTACAAAATCATATGTTTTTGATTACATACAGACACACGTCATCCTGGTTGTTTAAAACGCAATAGTTCAGTGTTATAACTCAAGAAGAAGAGGCCAACTTTCATCTGCTCTAATATTTTAAATATTGTGAAATGGAGGTGTTTGTTTGGCTGAAAGTGGAAATAAATCGATGCCATTATATCTAAAGAGCTTTTTTCATATAGTAGAGGATATTTCATGGAGAATGTACATAAGTAACAAAAAGTGGAAATATGCACAGAGATTATATTTACAGTCAAGTCAAATGTATTTAAAAATGAACTGAGTGTTCTCAGTCATCCAGGTCATGATAAAATACGAAGCTTGATCCAAAGGCAACTGGACTGGTTGAAGATCTTGAAGACGTTCCACCTCTCTTCGGAACAGAAGAAGCCTTTTGGAGGAGAGGTCTTCAACCAGTCCAGTTACCTTTTGGATCAAGCTTCTTTGTATTTCACCTCACCGTTGCTGTCACATTTTGCACGTCGATCCTCACTCTCCCCCCAGTTTCCTACTCTATGCACTGTCCATAATAAAGACATAAAAAGACCAAATATATATTTTTTTTTACACAGAGCATGCCACAGATTGTTCATGAAGGCAGAATTACTGAAACTTAAAAATGAAGTTGAATTAAAGACATTCATGGTTATGTACAGGGCAGAAAGCAGAGTTGTTTGTTTGTTTTTTTAGGTCAGAGGATGAGGAACATCAGAGGGAAATTACATTTTAAGCCTCAGTTTGTCCAGATCACTTTAAAGCAGATGTATTTCTTTGGTTGGAGTCAAACTTTGGAATTATTTACAGAACAATTTGAAGTTTAGGAAAATGTAAAAAGAAAGAATTATTAGACTTTATGAAATTGGAAGAAACTCTGTGTGAATTAATAAAGGCATTCAGAGACACTGAATCTGTTTTTTCTGTCTTTTTATGTTAATGTAAAATGTGTTGCTTAATAATTGTCATTTGACAGACAGTCTATTGTGATTGTGTTTTGAGTAAGAGGCAGGCAGAATAAGATGTTTCCTCTCCTTGCTCCTTTCTGGATGTATCGTTTTCCTTTTTCATCGATTTAAAACTGAGCTGGACGAATTAAATTAAACGATCTAAGATTGAATCTTCTCCCTAAGCCTGATTAACTATAATGTACAGATTAACGTTTTCTTCCTACCTGGTCTCATTCTGTACATGCAATTATGGTTTATCCTTATTGATATTACTGTATGTCAACACTGAGCCATGTCCAAAGGAAGATGATGCTTCTGACTGCTTATGGAACTATATAATTATTGTTTATGTCTCAGTTATATTGTTGCTATCACAGTATACAAAATAAAAAGACTTCTCTAAACAAATACAGTGTTTCTCTGTAAGAGTGCAGAACCTTTGCTCTCACAGCAGGACAGTAAATCCAACATGATATCCTGATATATCCACCCTGATCCCTCACCGCTGCTTTCACAGGAATCAATGTTGAGCAATCCTCTGCTTCTGTGCAACGGAGCGAGTGATGCACAAAAGCTGTCATGTTTTCATGTCACATAAAAACCCTGGATTTAATTTTTGATTTGGAGCATCAGGTGGAGATGACAGGAGGTCATAAAAAGCGAGGTTTAAGCAGCAGGGTCTTGGCTTAATATCATTTTTCATCTGTCCGGTGTAAATCAGCAATCAGCATGCCCTGCACATGTATTATTATAAGTTTATTTGCACAACTGTCAGGCCAGAGTTAGCTAAAAAGCTGTGACATCTGTGGTTCATGCACACTTGTATCTGTTTCATCAAACTCTGAAACTGTTGTAAATTGTAAAAAAGACAAGTGATAAATAAATAAATAAATGCAGTGAAAAAAAATCAATGAAAACAAAAATTATCAGTCAGACAGCAGCACTGTAGATAAAATAATTTTGAACATTTTGAAGAGAATTCTTCTTTCATGCTGCCTGTGGGTTTTTCAACTTTCATAAAATACTGCAATACTTTTCAATACCACATTTTTTATATGATACAATCGACGTTTTTTAAGTTAGATTTGTGGTCAACTTTGGGGGGGTGGCATGCAGCAATGGGCCGAGGTCGGACTCGAACCCACAGGCACATTGTTGAGGACTCCAACCTCTTTACATGGGGCGCGCGACACAACAACAGGCTACCAGACGCCCCAATCACCTTTATTTTAATGTTTGGTAGTACGGTAAAGAACCAAAGACAAAAAAATAATTACATCTATATCATGAGACAGGTGCCTATCTATCCTCATGAATCCATAAAAAATTGCAGGCAGACTCCTGCACACTTCAGGTACAGAAATTATTTGTGAAATTAGGACAGCCTGAGTTTGCTTGCAACTTTTCACAATTTAAAACGATAAATTAGTCAATATTGATAGCCTTGGACTTCTACTTTTCGTTCCCTGGTGTCAAGATTACTACTAGTGTTCTCTTAAAGTTGAAAATGTTGGATTTGTAACTTCAACAGAGTCGCAGGTTGTTCCAATCAATCAAGAAAACAACATTTGACACTGCCAGTGTCTTCATCGATACAACATTGATTGTCCATTTGAATAAAACACGGTCTGATAAGAAGAAAAAACAGGAGACTTTTCCAGATCATTTTCTAAAAATACTGTAATTTGGATCGAGCACTCGTACAATCACAATGACATTTCCTTCAAACTCCACTGACGCTCATCAACAAACAGAAGCTGAGAGCACACAGTTTCACATTTAGTCAACACTCAATACAAACTGTTGCAATGTTGGAGGAAAAAAAAAATCACTTTTGTGCTTTGAATGAATGATCACAGCATGTCTTTGAAGTAAGCCCTTTATGGTGACAACATGTCAGAAACATCACACTGAAGTCAGGACAGTTGTGTTTACAAAGCAATGGTTCTTTGGCTTGACGACCACATCAATCTGCTCAATAAAACAACGAGGGAGATTAATCATTGTCTTTTCCTTTGTCTATCATTTCCAACACGGATTAAACTGTTTCTCTCTCTACAACAACTCGTGCTACCACAGTCTGTCATTTTGCTACTTCTTCAGCTACTGGCTATCATCACTACCTCTGAGACTGACATGTGCTCATCTTGTTCAAGCTATCATCTTTAAACATATTTTAAAAAGTAAGTTGGATTTTGATTATATATTTGGTCCACTCTGGAGAGGATTTTTAATCTGTAGCTCTCACTATGACCACACTGTTTAAAAAATAATCTAAACGTGAACATTGTTTGGTACTGCGGCTCAGTGGAAGAGCCGGTCCTCTCTCAACTGGGCGGTCAGGGGGTTCGATCCCCAACTCCTGCAGCAACATATCCGATGTGTCCTTGGGCAAGACACTTAACCCCAAGTTGCTCCCACTGCTGCATCAGCGGTGTATGAATGGATACGTTACTTCTGATGGACACTTTACACATCAGCGTGTTAATGGTTAAGTATGACCTGCGGTGTAAAAAGCGCTCTGAGTAGTTAGAAGACTAGAAAGCACCATACAAGCTCAAGTCCATTTACCATTTAGTTATCATATATTACTTTTTCTGTGAACTAGAAGGAAACTCTTGCGTTTCAGCCCCTACACCGGTGGAGGTCAATGCTCTCATAGAAGGACCTTCGACATCCAAAAATATATTTCAATGGACGCCTTCACACAGGCAGAATCCAAGATGGGGTTAGATTCTGCCTGTGCCAAGGCGTCCATTGAAATATATTTTAAAATCACTTTTTGGAAATTGGAGTTTTTCCGCAATAGTTGCTCTTGTAGGAGATATAACGCATTTATTTTACAACCATCAAAATGATTTCCCACAAAGCAAAGCTGAATGAAATCGAGAAGAAAGCTCCCAAACTACATTCCTAACACACTCGATCTGATCATAGCATATGTACTTTTACTTTTACAAACTACTGGCCACAGTGAATCAGTGACCATGGTGACCTTCCTCTGCCAAGTGAAAGAGATTAAACAGCTGCAGTAAACAAGCAGAAATGTACTCTAATCGTTCTCTAAAAGAACATTAACATGTTCACTTTTAGTCAGTCCTAATCAAAAAACAAAGCAGCTCTGTAACATCCCTCAGAATTCATTTAGCACTCTATCTTTCTTTGCACCATAAAAAATATCCTGACAGCATTGAGAGGGATCCTTCAACTGTTTTGAAGGATTTGGATCAGACTTTTGTATGTCTTTTTTAAACTGTGGCTTTAAATTTTTGGTGAACACATCTTTCTTTCCACTGGTTTCTATCTTGGCAGATGACCAGAGATAAGTTGGACACAAGTCAGCGATTCTTAAAAACCAGAGTGAGAAGGATTAGCTGTTTTGCAGTTTGTGAACGCAGATAAAAGTCATCCTGCTCACTTCCTCTGATGCACCTGAATGCTACCTTTTCATGAAGCCCTGCCCCCTGACTATCTGCTTGGGGCCACACACCCATTGTGCAAAGAATGAAGTTCAGAAATGTATCAAACAGGCAAAATAAAAAAGCAGAAGGCCGGGTGTCATTAGGTAAGACACAATGAGTGTTGTTTCCTGTGTGATGAAAATGAGAGATTATATCAGAATGAGATTCTTCAACATTATCTTCTATGCATAGTCGTCCTCATTTTGCTTTTAATTGACACAAACAAAAGACTAAGCGGGATCCCTAAGAAACAAACTTAAAAAACATCTAACTTTGTACTTCCTCTCAGCTTTAAGACGCTTTTTAGTGTCTTTCACCTCGTTGTTTTATGTTTTTTATTTTGTAAACTCGCTCTCTTCATACTCTTTTTAAGCAAACAACTAAAACCTACAGCGCTCAACCAGCTCAGAAAGCAGCGGCCGATAGCTCGATGGCTCTCAGCTTCTTCAGGTTGGAAACTCTTTGCTAAATGTTTTAGCCAGAAGCTGGTGAAGACAAACATGGCTCTAAAACAGAGAGAATATTGGACTTTACTTCACCGGGTATGTAAAAACCTCAACAACATGAGTTCTACTTTACTCAGTGTCTTGAGAAAATGTAAGCAAGGAATTTAAGTCAATGTATCTACATCTTAATATAGCTCTGGTTTAATTCCAATCCTGCATTTAAAGATAATTGGTGTCATCTTCGAGGGGGATCCGTCTGTGATATTTGAAGTTTTTTTTAGTTGTTAATACAGTACGTGTTCCTATCATCTGTAAATGTGAAAGAACTTAACATTAAAAACACTTCTCAGGATCTACCAGACTTCTGTATTTGATTGTTTTAGTTTGAGAGGCAGACCCTTCTCAGAGGGTTACTCAGAATATGTTGTTTGCCTCCAGATCCTGAACTGAGACACAGATAAAGCTCAGACTTATAGAATGGCTAAATAGCTTTTCCTACAGAGGAGCAACATGTGTCTTTACAGAAAACTGTGAAATTATTAAGGACAAGTCTCTAAGCGACAAATTGAAAGATTTCTCACTATTTTGTGTTGGATCAGAGGAGTGAATTCTTTCTGTACTCAGGCCAGACGATTCTGCAGACGGGAGGCTAACTGCCACACAGAGCAGGGCAAGAGGAGTCCAAATATGGAAACGGTCAGATAAAAAAAGAAAGGGTTGCTTAACTTCCCCGCCTTTGCCCAGAGCAGAAGGGCAGAAAATAAAACTTTTGTGGTTTCTCGTCTCGCGCCTCTGCAGCACTTCACAAGTCCCTCACCGTTTTATCAAAGTCTGTTCCTCTCTCCTCTGAAGCTCAAAAAGACCAGAGTAAAAGAAGCTAAAAGCTAAATAAATACAGTACTGTATCATTACATACAGAATAACTTTGTCTACAGCCTCAGAGTGCCTGTGTTGTTGTGCAGCTACACCACCCTCTCCTCTCGACACCTGACGGATATAAAACAAACATAATGCTCCCTTAAGAATGCTTTTAAAGTGTCTCTAGAAAAACCTTTAAGTCAAAGGAAATAGGCCACCAAGAACCACTGCAGTCCACTTTCCCTTTGTCCTCTCTGTAAAAGTGTATTGTCTCACTTTCTTGGGGTCTGGTACCATGGCGGTATCCCCTGTAGGCTTCATTTAGAGCAGCGCTCAGCAGAGTCGAGAGCCACCGATCCTCGTCAATCTGCAGCCAAAATCAGAGGCCCGATACCCTGTGTGCTCTCAGCAAGTCCATGGGGACTGAAGGAAGGAGGCGGTGTCCTCTTCAGCGTTGTCAGTACTTATTAATGCCGAAGATCCTCACACCGTGCAGCTGAGGCAGCTTAGGAATGAGCACAGTGAGCAAAGACACCGTGTTGACCACAAAATGGACCCGGTCGTATTTGGTGTAGAAGCTGGTGAGTATATACCTGCACAAAAAGACACAGAAGAAGAACTTGTTATGATTAGCAGATTATCTTTACATACACTTTCTTTTTGTCTCCAGATGAGTCATTCTGTTTACAAGCTTAACAACAAGTAAGGAATAACTTGGATGAAAATCACACAATTTAACATTACTCAATAGCCAAAAAATGTCTCACTCGGTTTTTCTTCTGATAACCACAGTGAGACGTTTCCTAACTCATACAACACACACTGCCAACACCAGACTCTGTGAGACTGTTTCAACACGCAGAATAGTTGCAAAACCAGCGGTTAGAAAAGTCCCAATTTTTTTATTTTTAGGATTTTTTATAAATGTATTTCATATAATTTTAAGCCACAACACAATGGTAAATAATGTCTAGGCTTGCAACTTATGAGAAAAAAAGAAGAGATGCATGATATCATTGTTCAATACCAAAATAAAGTGTGATATATAACTTCCAAACTCCATTCGATCTGCAGAGTCCCTCTGCACCTTAAAGAAAAAGCTAAAGACCCAGCTCTTTGATGAATACCTATGACCTTCATGATGGTAATGACGATGGTTTTTGTTTGATAACGACGACTTATGAGATGGTTTCTATACTGATTAGAGCTCTCAAGAACTGCCCTCAATGTTGTGCTTTGCCTCTGGTCACTTCCTGTCAGCACCTGTGTGTCCAATCAGACTCAAAGCTGATCGTTTGCTCTTACTGACATTGCTCCCTTTTTTGCTAGATCCTTGCTTGTGTTGTACTTACTCTTTGATGTACGTCGCTTTGGATAAAAGCGTCGGCTAAGTGAATTGTAGAATATAAGCAATAGTTAAAGAATGCACATTAGCTGGAACTCTGCTCATGTTACAAATATGATGAAAATAGGGTTGTTAAGCAGCATGAATTATGACTTTAATAAAAGCTGAGTAGAAAGAAACCCTTTTGCTCTTCAGCCACTAAACAAATGGAGGTCGGTGCTCATGGAGAAACCAAAGAACCAAAGAAAATACTGGAGCACACCTATCACTTCAGGGAGATTAAATAAAGGTGCGAAAAACTAACGTTTGACTCTGAAGAAAACGCGTTGCATCGAAACGTTAGTCCTTCTCTTTGGTTCCTGTCTTGAAGAAGTTATCCACTGAATTGTTTTTTGTTTGTAGTAAAAGCTGGTTTGTAATCTCTTAATGTGTCCAGCTGCACTTTCATGACCTGATTATAAGACAAACATTGAAGTCAAAGTCAAACGACTTCATTGGAGTGTTTCTGGGACCAGACCTCAGTTATTTCTGTTTAAAAACACAACTTAATGAAATTATTCAACAGGCTGAATATTTTACAGATCATTCCCAGGTTTTCCCCCTGATATTATCTGGCTGCTCTGCCTGAACTGTCTGTGATTGACCAAGTTTTCTGTGCCCAAGGTTATGCACTCGCTGCGATATTTACGTTCCATTGGGGCCAAAAAATTAAGTCAGAACAGGACTGACAGTTAGAAATACTACTTTAAAAATCACTATCATATGAGCCATGACTGTGTTGCAACATGCTGGCAGCAGATGTACATATGTGGTTTAAGTGGAGAGACACTACAAGCAATAAAAGCAACATTGTTGTGATGTAAACAGCATTTTAAGATCCAACAACACACAAGAGTTTGGATTTCTTTTTGGAGCTTCGACTGAGGAACTGCACATCCTGTTCTTTCCTGAACGAGTGAAGACATGTAATAAAGGCTCATGAGACACTTTAGTAGATGTGAAGCCTTTTTTCCATCCAGAGATACGAGAACTGACCGCTTGTGTCTTCCCGCTGCTACTGAAACAAAATTCAAGGGGAGGCTTTTGAAACGAGCGTGTAAATAAAACGCACACCTGCAAAACTGCTTTGCTCAGGCTGAGCTGGCAAACCGACCCCAGGGAGCGCGAGAGAGTGCTTCCTGTAAACGCCTCAACTCTGCTGGTTAATAAGCAAAGGAAAGGGCAGGAAAGCAGCATGGGGTCCTGTTGCAAATACTAAGCCCCTTAACAATGTGCAAGCTTGACTAATAAGGGAGCAGCAGGGAGGATAATCAATCGACACTCATCCTGAGGGAAAAATCAAATAGAGGTAAAAGCGGAGAAGTTTGAACAAATTAAATCAGCAAAGTTTCAAGTTTGTGTGAATTCAGTTGAAAATAAAATAAGTAAAGCAAGCAGGCTGATTAAGGTAACTACAACAGGAAAAACGCAATTAACCAACCACTTCCTTAGAGACTCACAAACATATTTAAATGGTTTTGCATGGGAAGCCAGTGAGGAATTACATCCTTGTTGAAGCACCAGGGAGTCATTTTGGTTTATTCTCGTCATCTGTCTTCACCTTGTTAATGTCAAATGTTTGCCCCACAGTCCACACGGTCCTGCTCTACTTGTTTCTCAGTGTGTACTCTAATTCAGATCCGCTCTGTATAGATAGCTGTTCCTCTACTACCTGTTACACAATTAAAGCTGTGGATGAGAATTTGAGAGCCACTTACAAGACAATGGGTGTGATGGTGAGGAACTTGCGCGAAGCAGTAAACTGCACGCCGTAGTCCATCTGCTCCCAGTGTGTAAGGAGGCGAGCTTTGCCCTGGTCCGGGGTCTCAAACGGCGTCCCTTTTACCGTGTGAAGTAGGAGGTACATACACTGAAAGAGATGAGAGACACATACTGTAGTTAAAAACAAATTTGACATAAACACAACAGAAATCCAGTCTATCCTGTGTAAATGTGTCTCTGAGTCATGACTGTCTACAACGAGTGAGAAGCTCGAGTCTCGCTGGCTGTGTTGTTGTCAGAGCCGTGTTTACATGGAAGGGACTGCCGGCTCCTCCCCTTGTGTATAAAAGCTGTTTTAATGAAGGACTAGAGAAGAAGAAGAACATACTCACTGATTATTTGGATGTCACATAAGTGTCTTTAGATCACGCTCATTCTGTGTCAGTTTATGTGCAATATGAAGCTACAAGCTAACTAAAGCGTGCTAACATTAGCATGCTAACACAACAAGGCAGGCCACAGGTGATTGCAGCTCGAGCAAAGGACAATTTTGTCCGCTGCTTGCGCTTAATGGTGCTTAATTATGGTGCGTTCAAATTGATAACTCCTTCATGGGAATGTGAGTGGAGAGGGGTTGGAGGTGTGTCTCTGGAGAATAGCGGAGGTTCGGCCAAACAGCAGTTTGTTTTGGTTTCATGCTGGTGCTCAAGGGCGACATCTACTGGATCAAAAAGTAGTGCAATCGTCCTTTAATTAAGGGCTTCATTTTCCCAGATTTTTGATTTACTGAACTGGCTCCTAAACCAGCAGGAGGCCCACGTGCATCAAGTGGAAGTGTTTTCAGGATTACAAGATGAAGAAGCGTTTTTAATCTACACCAACCCTGACTATTTAATAAAGGACAACATATATATCTCCTGGATTGGAGTGGTTTTGCGAGACAAAGCAGTGCAGGATTCAGGGAGCTCAGTGGCCATCAAGAAAACGTTTTATCCAGAAGAACAGTGTTACGTGAGAAACTAAAATTACACCTATGGAATTCAGCCAAAACCATGTTTTTTTGGTATTTTGGTGTCTGGATATTAATACAGTTGTGCTTTGTGAAATGGTTAAAGTTTGGTTTGGTTAAGGCAAACGCAGGGTAATGACTGGACCGTCTGGACCTGGGACCACCCACTAATGTGCAACTGGCCCACCAAAAATGACTGAGAGATTCCATTCATATATTTTAAGATATTGAATATAAATTATGTTAAAAAATGTATGATGGATGTAACATCAAAAAAACAAACATTACTTTAACAACATCAAACTGTTGGCGATATTTTGCTTCTTTTTTTTTTCTGAAAATGAGGGCCTTAGATCATCTATGTTTAAGATGCTAGAGTGACCTCAGCTCTGAAATTACAGACTGCTGAAATATTATTGGCAACTATTTAGTAACAAGGAGCATGACTAAGAGCTGTTAAATAAAACATTCCTGCGTCCGTGCAGAGATTTGTTCACTTCAGAAACTTTGGTCATTCATCAAACACCAAACCGTTTAACCAGGCTGCACTTTTAAGTGTCCTCATCTGCCCTGAGTTGTTCAACCTATCGTGAAAAGAACGGCGGTGAAGCTGGTTGCGCTCGTGGAAATTATGCTTCACTGACCAGATTGTGTATGAGGTTGGTGAGGGTCCAGACCACAGGTACGCTGGCAAAGGGAATGCTGAGCAGGATGACGTGCAGGAGGCCGATGCCCAGGATGTAAGACAGCCACATCCCCCTGCTGTTCATCACACGAGTGTTCGGGTTCACCTCGCTGTGCGCCGTGCCCACATTCATGATGGCGTTGGTGCCACTTCAAAAGCACTGTATCGACTCTTTGAACCTCCTGTTTGAACTTTGTGCCAGGCTGGTGCTCCTACCCGTCTCCTGTGAGATACAAAAAAAAAAAAGGTTATCTGGCAACACATAATCTGGAGTATTAATAAAACCTCTCCTAGACATGCTGAACACTACGTGTGAAAATATATAACTTGATGCTCCAAGCTTGAGCTGTTAAATTAAAATAATAACTGCTTTTGTAGGGCTGGGCCTTAACTCAATAATTGTATTCACAAACTTAGAGTTGGGTCATTATGGAAGCTATTGCATAACAACACTTTTCGCGTAATCAACTTTATCCATTTGTCAGTCTTGTGATGATTTAATGTTTATATAAGAAACCTCCGATAATTAAAAAAAGAGCTGCTAAAACAAACTTCGGAAACAGGAAGTTAGCAGTTAAAGGGTTTGCACTTAACAAATATGAGAAGTGTTTTAGGACATATTTGATTACCATGGTTACAGAGGAAGAAAACACAACATGCTTAATAAGAACACGTATTTTTATATATCCGTTTACACATCATGGTGCATCTATTTCATATCATTTTAGCAATGGAAGTGATACACACTATGGTGCCTAGACCTCTTATTCTAACTTAAAGCAGATATTATTTTGGATATTGTGCAATAAAGCACACTCATGATGATTCAAACAAACAGTCGCAAGCCAACTGGAAACAAGAGGGTAATATTAATTGGCCTGAGGGTAAACTGGGATATAAGAGGGCTCATTTTAAGCAGTGACCTTTGACTTAAAGATAACCTGCTGAGCTCATCAGTATGTGCCTGCTCGACACTAATTGATTGACAAGAGTAAACCATGTAGCAGCAGGCAGCTGGTCATTCCAGCATGCTGTGTTGTAAGTTGTAAGAGCCCTACAATGTAACTGGCTACATCGTGATCTGCAACGTAGCTACACACGTCTACAAGTGTGCTACCTACTGTAGCACTATTAAGAGTTTAATGTACACCAAAACATCCGCTATAAGTGAGTAAGTAAATGGTTCCACTCACTGCAGAGAAAAATGGCTTCAACTCCGACCTGTGTGGGTACTTGTCCGTTATCACAGTTTTTGTCTTCATTTATGTAATTGATACTATCACTGTGGAGCTGGCTGCAGGTCCGGGTCTTTCGATCAGTCATCCGGTACCATCCTTCACCTCCAAAAGCGTGCTGCTCCGTGCTCCGGTGCGCTCGCGGGTCTCACGATCGACCGAGACGCGAGCACTTTTTCCTTCGTCTTCCAGACAACAGCTGGTGACAACACAGCACAGTTCATGATGTAACGTCATCGCTATTCGTTACCACGGCCCCGTATTTCGGCTCGGTTCCCTCACTCCTCGCACTTTGCTGCGGTTGGTTGTTGCGCGTCACGTGGCCGAAATTGACCAATCAGCGTTTAAAGCGTTGACAAAACGCGGACTACGCCCCCTTTTGACGTCACCACGGAGGTGGGTCCGAGGAAGAGGGCATGATTGACACTTGGGATTGAGAATGAAAACATTTAAAAACTATAAAACAAGATTACATTTTCTATATGAAATAAGATTTTTGAAAAACTATAGAATAATATAATACCCAATTCTTCTTGGCAATCGCTGTAAAAATGTTTTTTTTTTTTTTTTGTACATCATGTTAGTGAAGGTTATGAACAGGAAGAAGTACATGTATTTTCATTCATTCCTTTGATGACTTTGATATAATATTATTTTTGCAATAATTGTTGTTAATAAAGTTTTAAAAAGGCTGAACTAAGAGTATAGACATGTGATACGTCTGGGTGGCTCTAAGTAGCCACAGCAGTGTTATGAGTTGTACATTTACAATATCATCGTTGTCATATTAGTTTTGCCATTGGCTTGATACAACACGACAATTTGGTACAACTTTGGCGCTGTTGGCCGAGTGGTTAGGGCACGTGCCCCATGTACAGAGGCCATGGTACGCAAGGCAGGCGTCCCGGGCTCAAATCCGACCTCTGGCTCCTCTCCCGCATGTCACTCCCCACTCTCTCTGTCCTTAATTTCCACCTCTATCCACTGTCCTGTCTCTCAAATAAAGGCACAAACGTCCTATAAAAACACAAGGTACAGCTAAGGCAAGAAGACAAGTGGGGTTCCCATTAGCTTATAAAATGAATCGTAAGGGGAACCAGAATGCCTTTGATTAATACCAAGGCAATCTGTCAAACAGATGTCAAGACATTTCATGTAAACATATTCAAACCTTGTCAAATAAGATTAGCTGTAACAGACTGTCATGCATAGAGTTCAAATGCAAAGGACATACAAAGCAGTTTAGCATCTACCAATAAGTGTAAAAACTACATATGTATAGGGGAAATACAAAGGATAAACAGCTACTTTTAAATAGGACATATACTGTTTGAACTGTGCGACATGTGGCTCCTTTCCCGCAAGTCATTTCTCTCTCTCTCTCTCTCGCTCTCTCTCTCTCTCTAAATAAATAAATAAATAAATAAAGGCAAAAGCCCAAAATGAAACTTAAAGAAAAAAACGTAAAACAGCTACGTTTATGTATGAAAGATCGGTCTTCATTTCTGTTTAATTCAAACAGCCAATAGCTCTGATGCCTCTCTGATACATATTCAGTACCCGAAGAACAAAAGGAGGCCCTTCACTATTTATGTACTCAAGGTGAGTGGAGACCTTGCTGGTGGCAATGAAAAAAGATTGACAAGACTGATACTCTTATCCGTAAATCAAAGATCAACAGTGTCATGTTTTAGCTCCCAAGATAAGCCTTAATACTAATTTAGTCCCACAGTAGCCGGAGGCCAAATGGGGTGAGCTGTGTTCTACTTGCATGCCATGTTACGTGACACCCAGCGTTTCTGTGGTACCCCTGTGATCAGTGTCAGGGAACAGGTTTGGCCGACTGACAGTGGACTCTCATATGTTCATAGCCCTGGGTGCTATGGCTGTGTTCGCTGTGTAAACCTAGAGCTCTGTTCAGAGGAGAACTAAAGATGACAGAGCTATGAGATCACTGCTAGAGCTGGAACAATGGACAAATATTTGACATTGATAATGCAAACCTAAGGAGAGGGGGGGAGTTATGACGCCTACAGATGAAGTGTGAGAACAAAACGACGTCATCTGCATACATGGCATATAAAGACACAGATTTGAAATGGAGACCTTCCATCCATTTCTTTCACTTATCTGAGGTCAGGTCAGGTGGCAACAGGTGATGTGATATAACCTAGACGCACCAGCAGCATTTTATAACTCGACCTGGGGGATTCTGAAACGTTCAAAGGCCAGATAGGCACTGGGTCTAGCCCAGGGTCTCCTCCAAGTTGGGCATACCTGGAAAACCTCCATGAGGAAGGCACCAGGGGGCGCAAAGGAGCAGTGGCTCTTTTCCATGCTCCCCCAAATGTCCAAGCTCCTCACCCTATCTCCAAGCCAGCCTCCTGGGGAAACTTATTTGGGCCTCTTGCATCTGTGATCATATTTTTTCAGTCACTACCCAAAGCTCATGACCATAGATTGACTAGTAAATTGAAAGCTTTGTCTTTTTGTCTTCATTCTAAGCTCCTTCCCACCATGATGGTCCGGTACAACGCCCCCACTACTGTTGACGTTGCACCAATCTGCCTGTCAATTTTACGGCCCATCTCACCTCACTTGTGAACAAGACTAGGGAATACTTAAAGTCTTTCACTTGGGGCAAAGCCTCACTCCACATCTGCACGGAGCAACCATGGCCTCGGACTTGGAGGTGCTATACCCTCATCCGAGGCGCTTCTCACTTGGCTGAAAACTGCCCCACTACCTGCTGGAGGTCCCAGCCTGAGAAAGCCAACAAATCTACCTTAACTGCAAAGAAAACAGAGATAAGATTTTGTAGTCCCAAAATCAGAAACCCTGCTGCCACTGGCTGCGCCTTGACTTCATGTCCACGAGAATCAATAACAGAATCGGTGGCAAGAGGAAACCTTTATTTATTCTCAAAAGCACATGGTGAAAGGCCAACATGAGCTGGGAATGTGTCTGACTTTGTCCCGAGGATGCGGACAAAGCTCTCATTTTGGTCAAACAGGTACACAGGATGGCTTGTAGAACGGACCCGGGACCACATATTCCCGCAGTTACCCAACATGACCCTCCGAGGGACACTGTCGTAGGCCTTCTCGAAGTCCACAAAACACATGTAGACTTGATGAGCAAACTCTCATGCTCGCCTCAGAAGCCCTGCAAGAGTAAAGGGTTGTTCCACAGCCAGGATGGAATCCAAATAGTTGCTCCTGTATCCAAGGTTCAACAATCAGTCAAAGCCTCTTTTCCAGAAACCTAGAGTAAATTTTCCCCAAGAGGCTGAGAAGTGTGATACCTCCGGTCCCATTTAAAAAAAAAAAAATTGGGAACCACCACCCTGGTCGGCTACTCCTCTGGCACTATCCTAGCCCATGCAACATTTAGTATTGGCTGAAATGAAGAGCATTGACCCGTTTTCAGTCCTTTCAGTTTAATAAAAAATTTACACTTTAATTTAATGTGCAAATGATAGTATTGAGATCAAAAGCTATTTTAAAAGTGATGACACAAATCATTACAAAGCATGCCTACAATATCAACGCTAAAAACTGCTCACAGTTTAAAAAATAATAATTAAATATGTAAAATACAAAATAAGATGTTTTTGAATAATTCATTAATTTCACAATTCATTGTCCAAAAAGTTGTCCTTTTATGTTTTATTAATCAAAATGTGCATTCAGCTAAGTACACATTGGAGTGGGTATCTGATCTTTGCCATTAAAAAAAAACTGCTACCACTGAAAGTGATCAAATCAACGCTTTAAAGTCTTGCAGTCGTATCCATTTCTGCACAATCACATATTTAACAGATGTTTAGTGATGTTCTTCTTCAGAGTACATCTCTCAGCACTTGGACAAATGCCCATGGGACGTCTTGCTGAGCCTTTCAGACGAAATGTGATTCTGTTAACGGGACTTGTGATCAGAATAAAATATGTTACCGGAAAGATGCATTTGATGTTGTATTTTCTCTGCATCAGTGTCTCTACAAAGCTTGGAACCTGTCAAACAAACTAATAAGACAAACTAAACCGAACATGTGCCAATGAAGAGCAAATTCAATGTTAGGCCTGATCCAGATACGACTCCTAGACAAGCAATAATATTGAGAAAATAGCAACAGCGGTTAGATTAGTAAGTAGAAGAACTATTAGAATTTGTGCAGGTATGCAGAAGTTGAGTATCCTTTTAGTCATCACAAAATGGTTTCTTTGTTCTAACATCAGTGATACACTATCATGTGCTGTTACAACTTTGTACTTCAAGAAAGCAAGTTCTTTATGTCCTCTCTTTGTTGTTGATGGAAGGGATTCCTGGAGATTGCAGCTGGTGTAGTCTATCTTTAAAGATTGCTGAAGAAAAATTGAGTGATTGCAACATTCAACAGAAGTTGAAATAAAGGAATATTTGGAGTGTATTTCTTAGCTGTTTATCACTTTGTATAGCGGAGATTGCAATATTTCAATGATGTACAATCAGAAAATTTGGTGTTGCATTACTTAATGTTCTAAAAACTGCATACATTTTTTAAAGTCTGTCAGAGCAGTTATAAATTTCCAACCATTGGCAAACCCTTTGAGGGCAAAGCAGTCCACTTTGTAAACAGCTTTTCCTTAGTTTTTTATACAAATCGAAGGTATTGTGCAAAAAGATAACTGTTTTACATAATTACATGTGACACATTCTGCTCCTGTTGTAAGAGGGAAAAAAACAATTTAAAATCCAAGAATTTCTTTCCTTCCATTTGGTTTCATTCTGAAATAAACACACTATTAGGAAAACTATTTTTGGATTTATTTAACAATCATTGACATTTAATTGATTCATCCCTCTGAATCATCATCTTATTTCTTGGTTGCATCTTTAATTGATGAGACTCAAGGCTTCATGTTCACATACACTTCATACACTGCTTGTATGTGACAATCAACAGCTTCTGATTGTGTGCAACCAGCAGATGTCACCATCAACACACCTTGGGCTGGTCCCCACCACCCTGGAGTCTGTGCTGTGATGCACCTTCAGCTGAAAAACTTGTACACTAACACTGTGGTGCAGTGAAGACCACAGGTGTAAGAATTCAACAAAGCTCCCTCTCTGTTTGTACTAGTTGCATCTAATCCATATCAGATGCACTTACATATTATTATGATATGTACTCCACATAATGCCTGAGGTTATAGGGTTCTTTGTACAGTGTATACAAGTAGAATATAATTGTATTCCTTTGTATAACTGTAAGCAGATTA